GAAGCCACCCTGTCCCTGTCCTGTCAGCCTAGTGCTCTTCCCTCTGTGCAAAGCTCATTGTGCTCCCCTGACCCTCCTTCGTATTTAGGACAGTGAGGAAGAAAGGGGGACAGCAAGGAGAACAGCTAGTTAGTGCCATGCTGAGGGGTCATTGTCCAGAAGCAAGTGGAACTTCCCTCTGTGGCTCTTGCCTGTCATCGTGGCTTGGTCCCCTCTGTTTTGCCTCCGTAGGCCATTGAGAAACTGGTTGCCCTTCTCAACACGCTGGACAGGTGGATTGATGAGACTCCTCCGGTGGACCAGCCCTCTCGATTTGGGAACAAGGCCTACAGGACCTGGTATGCCAAACTCGACGAGGTAAGGCTACCACAGGACAGGCCTGGGGGCCGGACTGGCGGGGAGGGTGATTCTGGCACCAGATGAGAAAGGGCCTGCATTGTTTAGAGCTTTCAAACATATCTGAATCACAGGGGGTTTGTTAAAATGCCAATTCTAAATGAGTTTACCCTCTGTCCTAGCCATCTTCTGGAAATTGCTATTGCAGCTGTACAGTCCTCTGCACAAGGCTATTTGTGAAGTCATTGTTTGTATTAGCAACAGGTTGGAAATGTCCCAAGTATTCATCTGTAGGGGATCAATTAAATTAATCCATTCACAACATAGAGTACTATGCAGCTATAAAAAAAGAATAAGGAAGCTGTCTAGGGGACTCAGTGGAAGGGACTTTAACTCATTCTTAGGTTAAAGAAGCATCAGGTGTAGTGATGTAGATCGTAAGCTATCTTTTGCTAAGAAAGAGGGAAAAATATATGTTCATGTTGCGCATGTTTTCATAAAGAAACATCCCTGGAAGAATACATAAAAGGCTAATAAAGCTGAGGTTTCCTTTTGCAGGCAGAGGAGGGTGGGATGGAGTGAGACTTCTCAATGCATGCCTTCTGTAATGTTTTTGTTTTTGCATCTTATGAGGCAATGCCTGTTCAAAGCAAATAGAAAACAAAAATGCAGGATCTCAGGCCACATCCTTAGAAAAGCAGAGTCTGTGGGTCTGGAAGGGCCTGGGAATCCAGATTTTTCAGCGGCTCCCCAGGAATTCTCACGCCGGTTGTCCACAGCTGAGCTTACAGAAACTTGGTTCCTAGTTCCTCCAGCCCAGTGTTTTCACAGAGAGCAGAAGGGAGTACTGAGGACCCAGCAAGGCGCTATCCTAAGAACGGCCTGGGGCTGCTTCTGCACTCTAAGGTGGCATGTGCTCTTGTTTTTTAAAAAGATTTTTATTAAATTATAACTTAAAGCTGATAAATCACAGCTGTACAGCTTGATGGATGTTTTTTTTTTTTTTTTTTTTTTTGAGACAGAGTCTCACTCTTTTGCCCGGGCTAGAGTGCCGTGGCGTCAGCCTAGCTCACAGCAACCTCAAACTCCTGGGCTCAAGCAATCCTTCTGCCTCAGCCTCCCGAGTAGCTGGGACCACAGGCACGTGCCACCATGCCCGGCTAATTTTTTCTACATATATTTTTAGCTGTCCAATTAATTTCTTTCCATTTTTTGGTGGAGACGGGGTCTCACTCTTGCTCAGGCTGGTCTCGAACTCCTGAGCTCAGAACAATCCGCCCACCTCGGCCTCCCAGAGTGCTAGGATTACAGGCGTGAGCCACCGCGCCCGGCCTTCTGCCTGTTTTTGAACTTCATATAAATGTCTAGCTTCCTTTGCTCAGTATTATGTCTGTGTGATTTATCCATGTTGTCATGTGTGGCAGCAGATCTTTTTCTTTGCTGTGTAGTATTCCATTGTGTGAATATACCAGTTTATTCATTCCACTGTGGATGGACATTTCAGTTTCATTTCTCCATTTTGGCTCCTGTGAACAATGCTGCTGTGAACATTCTTGTGTGTGTCTTTTGGTGGACCTATGGCACAAACTCTTGCCGCCCTGGAAGTGTGAAGGAAAATGGCGTCTATGGGGACCATAGCACTGACCTCCTGGCGTCTCCATGGGGCTCCATTGAGTTACCAGATGGGAGAGTTGAATGGCTCCTACTCAGATTTGTCCTGTCTTGCTCCCAGACCCCTGTCCCCTGGAGAAAGGGGCAGCAGATGATAAGCCACGCCGGGGAAGTCTTTCTGTTGTGTAAGAATAAATACTATTCCTCTTCTTTCTTATGGGGCCAGTCAGAACAGGGAGCCAGGCTGGCTTGGCATGGCAGCCTGGGCCCTCAGCCAGATGCTGCCCCTGGGCTCCTGCCCACTGGGATGCTGCCTAATCTGCCACCACTTTGTGTCTCTTGTGTTATCAGGAAGCAGAAAACTTGGTGGCCACAGTGGTCCCCACCCACCTGGCAGCTGCTGTGCCTGAGGTGGCTGTTTACCTAAAGGAGTCTGTGGGGAACTCCACGCGCATTGACTACGGCACAGGTATCTGCTGCTTGGGGGGATCTGCACTTATTTGGCTTCACTGCTTTACCTGGGCTCTGGACAGTCTTGGGGCTCTCTGAACAAGCAAGAGTTTGCCCAGCTCCTGCAGCCTTTTGGGGCCAGCTGGGGTGTGGGGTGGTTGCAGGGGCGGGTGGGGGTGGCATGGGGGGGCAATCGTGTTGGGAGCCCTGATGCTGCAGCTCTAGCATGTCCACCAGGGGTGGGGCTGATGCCACATGCATGGTGCTTGTTTGCACAGAGCTGATTTTGTTTTTGTTTTTGTTTTTTTTTGAGACAGATTCTCTCATGCTCTGTTGCCCCGTGTAGAATGCAATGGTGTCATCATAGTTCACAGCAACCTCAAACCCCTGGGCTCAAGTGATCCTCCTGCCTCAGCCTCCTAAGTAGCTGGGACTACAGGCAGGTGCCACCATGCCTGGCTAATTTTTCTATTTTTAGTAGAGACGGGGGTCTCACTCTTGCTGAGGCTGGTCTTGAACTCCTGAGTTCAAGCGATCCTCCTGTGTTGGCCTCCCAGAGTGCTGGGATTACAGGCATGAGCTACGGCCATGAAAGAACTTTTTTGGTAGCCTCTGTAGCATCATGGCACACCCTCTCCTGACTCCACTTGTTTCTTAGCCACATTCTCTATGCTGTTGAGTTCTTTGGATCCCTGGTCCACGTCAGCCAAGCTGACTTGGAATTTGATGAGGAGTATGTGGTCACATTCAAAGGGAAGTGCTCTCTAGGTCAGGGGGTGGCTTGTATGTCTAAGGAGAATCCCTGCTTTGGTACGGGCCCCCCCCTTCTTTCTGCCCTGAAGCAGGCTAGTGGGGGAGCTGCTGCTGTCTCAGAGCCCTCCCGTTGTGGAGCGTGTAGATCGTGGTCTACAGGAGGGACCCCAGGCCACAGAGGCAGGCTCTGGAGAAGGGCCCTCTTGGACCTGGATCCTGGGGAAGTTTTGTCCTCTGCTTCTCCCTGCTGCTGGGGAACAGGTTTATCAAGTGTTTTGACCTTTGGGGGTGGGGCTTTGACTAAGACCAACAGGGAAAAGATCCCAGAGGGCAGCCTGGCCAGGTCAGCAGGAGGTGGTGCTCCTAGGTACACAAGAGCCCCTGAGTGATAGTTGTTTGGACTCTGACTGGTCATATTTGGAAACCATTGTAGGTGAAGGAAACTGAGCTCACAGGCTTTCCCAGGCCCTGAAGGGATTGTCATTCTGCAGAAATAGGACAGGAAGTTGCTGAAATACTCTCTCCTCACCTCCCTCCAAATATGTTTTTTATGACACCATGAACCATGGAATTCAGTCCAGGTTTCAGTTAATGGGCTCTGTAGTGCTGACCGTTCCTATTTGACATGACTGGGAAGGGATCGAGGGTGCCTTTAGCCCTGTAGTCTGACCATGTTCCCTGCTTAGAAGCCTGCAGTGGCTCCCTATTGCTCTTCAGGTAAAGTCTGAGTGCTTTACTATGGCCATTAAGGCCCATCTGACCTGTAGCCTCATCTCATTATACTTTCTTCCTTGCTCTTGCTGCTCTAGACATACTCGTCCTCTTAGGGATTTTCAAACATATGCAGCCTTTTCTTGCCTCAGGGCCTTTGCACATGCTCTCTCTTCTGGCTAGAATGCATTTCTTGCTCCCTCACCCCCTTTGCCTTGCCATCTCTCATTCATCTTTCAGATTTCAGATTAAATGTTACTTCCTTAGAGGAAACCTTGAATATTTATGTTAAGGTCCCCCTGTGATATCCTCCAGTTATTACCTTATCTTTCTCCTTCAGAGCTAGAATCATAGTAGTGATTGTATATGTAATGTTTGTCGCCCCTGATGGATCATGAACTCTTTGAGTGCAGGGATTTATTTGTTACTATCTCCCTAGTGCCTGACATGGACCTTGCCCACATAATAGGTGCTCAATAAATAGCGTGGAATGCCTGTATGAGTCAAATCTACAAAATAAAATGTCAATGTCTGTTTCAGGAGTCAACAGCCTGGGCCTTTTAGGAGTAGAATAATAGTCCTGGTAGTTCTTGAAAGAGCCTAATATTAGTAGGTCTTTGTGGACTGGGAAGAGGCCCCGTTATCTCCATGTTGTCCCCTTCCTCAGAGGGGCACTTAGCAGTGATTTGGATCCCGGAGACCAAAAACAATCCTAGTCCTTTTTCTGGAAGACCATCAACCTTGACTGTTTTTTCTCCCCCAGGGCATGAAGCAGCCTTTGCTGCTTTCCTCTGCTGTCTGTGCAAGATTGGGGTGCTCCGAGTGGACGACCAAATAGCTATTGTCTTCAAGGTGTTCAATCGGTGAGGGAAAAGAGGATAGGAGGACGGGGAGTGAGGGGGATCTCTTTCCTCCTCAGACTGGGGCCGGGTGCTGGAAGGTTCTCCTGAGTGGCTCACGTTCTCTTGTCCTGTCCTAGTCAAGCTCTGGCTGTGGATGGAGTGTCCAAGACTCCTTTTTCTGACAGGTTTAAATTTACCACCCAGTAAAAACAAGTGAAGGGAATGTCGCATACTGACTGCTAATGTTTACACGGTGTTCACCCTGTGGAGGCACCGTTCTAAGTGCTTTACGCATAACTCATTTAATTCTTACAACAACCCTGTGAAGTAGCAGCTGTTATTTCCATTTCACTGGTGAGGAAACTGAGGCACAGAGAAATCAGCCTCTTCAGTGAGGTCACACAGCTGAACGTAGGCAGTCAGGCTCTGCCTCGCCGCCCCTCACCACCCAAACTCCTGCTGGGCAGCACAGGTGTGTGTCACAGTCACCCGGAGAGTCTCAGAATGTCCATTCCTGGGCCTCTCTCTGGTGGTGCTGATGCAGTAGGCCTGTGGCGGAGCCCAGGATGGGTGTCTAAAGCTGCAGAGGTAACAGAAGCATAACCTTTGATAGAACTGAAGGTCAGAGCCAGAAGGAATCTACGTGGACTCCCGTCAGCTTTCTGACGGGCAAGCCAAGCTTGGAGAAATTCAGGCTCTTGCCCAAGGCCTTACTTCTTCTTATCAGGAGTTGATGGTACTAAAACCCAGGTTTGGAGTCAGTGTTTGTCCCTTTCCTGGGCCAAAAGAAGGCCAAGTGTGGGGGGAAAAATAAAGCAACATTATTTTGAGAGTACCAGCTACAACTTAGGCATGGATGTTTTAATTGAAACCTAGATCATTACAATCTTAAGTGGTTATTTCTGGCCTTCTGGTATTCCAAATGGCAGAGGGTTGAGACTGTCTTTTTACTTGTTGCTACCTTCCCCGTCTTTCCCCACTCTCCTGTGCAGGTACCTTGAGGTTATGCGGAAACTCCAGAAAACATACAGGATGGAGCCAGCCGGCAGCCAGGGAGTGTGGGGCCTGGATGACTTCCAGTTTCTGCCCTTCATCTGGGGCAGTTCGCAGCTGATAGGTATTGGGGAGGGTGTCCATCCCTCTACCCACTGCAGGCTGCATTCTGTGTACCTCCCCCTGCCCCTCCTGCTTTCTCTCTCTCCCGTCCTCCTGCCCAGGGCAGACAGTGACAGCCTGGAAAGCAGGGCATTACACTGGCTATTGATGGAGGCTGTTTGCTGGTGACCTGCTGCTGCAAGCCCGTGTAGCGGGCTGGGGGAGGCGGAGGCAGAGCGCTGCCAAGATAATGGGAAGTGACATGGGCTGGGGCAAGGGCGCTTGCCTGACACATAATGGACTGGTGTGAAATGTGCCCCAGCTCCTGGCAGCAGCTGCAGGGTTCTATGTAGCAAATGAGGGGCTCTTTCGATTCAGTGACCAACGTCATCCACTGTTACTACCGAGCTTTGTGCAGAGGAGCCCGTCAGGGAGATGCCGCTGAGTGCTGGGTGGTGGGCCTGTTTCAGTGACTCGCCCCCGCTCTAGAAACTGTTTTCTAGGCTGTGGGTGGGGTGATCATCTCTATTTTGATTCAGAATGAACTGCCTACAAAGTAATATTCACAAATGACTATTCGTTGAGGACTTGCTCTGTGCCGGGCACTGCTCTAAGTGCCTCAGGTACGTTGCCTCCCCGAATCTTCTTAGTGGCCCTGTGAAGGGTCTTTGCCAGCATCAAGCCAGCACCACTAACACCTGTGCCAGGCACCATGCTGAGTGCTGTGGGCGTGGTGATTGTCACGTGGGCCTCAACAGCCTGGAGGGAGGTACTGTTCTTATCCCCACTGCCCAGGTGAGGAAACCGAGCCATGGTGGGCTGAAGGTCACGCAGCTAGAGAGAGGCAGAGCTGGAGCTCAGCACACCAGGACATGCACACATGCCATTTACTGCTCCTTCGAGGTCAAATGTTGAGAGCACCATGGGCAGAACTGTGGCCTTGGGTGGGGGTTGACTGTGCTGGGCTGGGGTGCCCAGGTGGTGTGAGAGCCTGGGTCTGAACCCCAGGGTCCTTTGCTCTTCCCAGACCACCCGTACCTGGAGCCCAGGCACTTTGTGGATGAGAAGGCCGTGAACGAGAACCACAAGGACTACATGTTCCTGGAGTGTATCCTGTTTATCACTGAGGTGAGGGGCAGGGGGTGAGGGAGAAGCCCATGGCTGCCTCCAGGCTCAGACGAACCAAAGCTGGTGGCTTTAGAGTGGGACGGAGGAGCCAGAGCTGCTGCTCAAAGATGGCCTGGCTGGCACCAGAGTGGGGTATTGAAAAGGAAGCCCCACCGGGTCTCCCCTGAAATGCTCAGCCAGCTTCTGACCCGGATCTCCTCCACCAAACCTGGGGCTCCTACTGAACACCACAGGACTCTTGAGCTGAGGGACTAAGACTCAGTACTAGCTGGACTTGGGGACCGATGCAGCAGGTATGAAAGGGTGGGCAGTGTTGGGGGGGAGGGTCCGCATCTTTCAGGTGGGGCCCACAAGGGTCTGTAGGGCTGTGTGCTTATGAATGTGTTGACTGGAACTGCTGGAGGAGATGGAGCCGACTTCTGGCGTAGACAACTTTCAGCTGAAGGGACACATCTCTCAGTACCTGAAGCCATAGGCCTGAGCAAAGTGCTGGAGGTGAAAACAAGTCGGCCCGTGGTGGCAGTCACTGGGCCGCCAGCCCGCCTGGCCAGGCTCTGTAGCTGGAAGCTCTTGTCTCGCCAAGGCAAGGGTTCCTCTCAGTGGGCCTTGGACCACTTCTGCAAGATCGCCTGGGGAGCAGTTTGTTACAATGCACGTTCCTGGGCCCCACCCAGCTTACTGAATCAGACTCTTAGGAGTCAAGAGCCAGGAGCCTGTATGTAAACACACTTTCTAGGTGACTGCACAGGAAAGGGGACCCGCTGCTCTCAGGCCTCTCTCCTGGGAGGTGTCAGGACTTTCCATCCTCCCTGTCCTGTACCCTCCCTGCCCCTGCCAACTTCCAAAGGGCGCCCTGTCTGGAGCTGGTTCTTGTCTTCCCTCCCCTTCCTGTTGCCTACACGCACATCTGCTGCCTCAGTGATGCCCCTGGCACACCTGTGGACTCCTGCCTGTGGGGGCTGCTCTCCTGGCAGTCTGTTCTAAGCCCCCTGAAGAGGTGGAGTCGCTTGGTTAAGCAGCCTTGGCTCTAAGCTCTTCCTGGTCAGCATTCAGCTCAGGCTTCTGCCAAACTCCAGAGGCCAGAGGGGAATGACACATTTTTTCCAAGTCAGCAAATGGAGCCGGGACTGACGGCTGGGTGGCCACCGCTTCATTCTCAGAGATCTGCTGCCTTCAGCAGTGTAGCAGGCCCAAGGTCGGAAGGACTCGGGGGCAGCCTGGCTCGCTGCCTTGAAAGCCAGTCACATGCTGCTCTCTTCGGAGTGGAATGCGAGGGTCTGCGGAGCCCTGGGAGACGCGAGGATGAGCTGGAGGAGCAGAGTGCAAAGAAGGGGTGCACATTGCACCCTGAGCTTGTGCTGGGGGATAAAAGGCCAGCTGTTTTTCCTCCTGCTGGCAGCTGGCCAGGCCCCTGGGTCCCTGTCAATAATTCTAGCTAGGAGACAGGCTGGGCCTGGCCTAGGGACTCTGGGAATTGAGTCCATGTTGAAACTTTGTATATTTGTTTGTTTGGTTGGTAATTCTGGTGTAAAAAACCCAAAAGCTTGGGCCAGGCGCGGTGACTCACGCCTGTAATCCTAGCACTCTGGGAGGCCGAGGCGGGTGAATTGTTTGAGCTCAGGAGTTCGAGACCAGCCTGAGCAAGGGCGAGACCCCGTCTCTACTAAAAATAGAAAGAAATTAATCGGACAACTAAAAATATGTAGAAAAAATTAGCCGGGCATGGTGGCACATGTCTGTAGTCCCAGCTACTCGGGAGGCTGAGGCAGGAGGATCCCTTGAGCCCAGGAGTTTGAGGTTCCTGTGAGCTAGGCTGACGCCACGGCACTCTAGCCCAGGCAAAAGAGTGAGACTCTGTCTCAAAAAAAAAAAAAAACCCAAAAGCTCTCCCAAAGTTTGGGACCCAGTTCCTCTGCTAGACGAAATCGTAATGTAGCCACTAGGTGGCACTGAAGGCACGTTGAACTCGGAGGAGGTTTTGGTAACATTTAATTAAGGGAGAAGCAGGAACAGGGAGGAAGGGACAGGCGAAGAGTTTTTGGCTGTTCTGCACCTTCTCGGCAAGGCCCACTTTTCAGTTTGGGTCTAGGTTCTTGGGCGTGGTGTTAAACAGTGGATGCTAGGAGGGGCGGTGCCTGGGAGTTGAGGGGGCTGTAGCAAGGGCCGGCTCTGCCTGCTGGCTGGAGGCCCGTGCGTGCGGGTGCTGCTTACAGCACACCTTGTGTAGTTCTCCAGAGCGCCCACACCTTCAGCCCCTAGTTAGTGGATGAGTGGCCTGGCTTGCCTGGGGACCCAGAGGCCCGCGTGGAGCTCTTTGGTCAGGAAGGGGGCGATGTTGCCTCTGGAGACCTGGGAGTCACCGTGGGCCGGTGCAGCAAGCAGATTAAACAGAACACCAAGACTTTGGGAATGGAACCGGGTGCTCCTCCTGGGTCTCACGCCAAGACTGCCCTGGTGGCCCTGGGCCTCCTGGAGGAAGGGCCCACCTTGCAGGGCTTCTGCAGCCTCGGGAAATGCAGCCCTGGTGCCTTTAAGAGCCTAGGGCAGGCAGGAAAAGAATTTCAGTTTCAATCTGGCTTCTAAATTTGGAGTTTTGGGAAGGGAGGGATCAGATTTCAGCTGGAAGGGAAGGAGCTGACAGGAAGGCGCTGTGCAGAGCCTCCCCCTCTCCGCCCATCCCCCCCAGTTACTGACAGAGGAACCATTTACAAAAGGCCGATCCTCTGGGGAGTGGAGAGGCAGGAACGCAGCGTCTGTGAGTAATTTCCTGCTCAATATGGCTGCTCTGACTCACACGATTCCCCTGGGGTCACTGCGGACTGCAGCGAGCTTGCTGCTTCTCGCTCTTTCTCTTCTCCCTTTGTGGCTAGAATGAGCTAATTTTTTTTTTTTTTGTCTTTTCACCCCTGATTCCTTTTTTCCCCTCATCAGTTTTCCTGTCTCAGAGTTACAGAGTCTCCTTCCGAAGGACTTAGGGAGACCTTGGGCCACTGAAGGCCGGGGGGGGCGGGGGCGCAGCCCCTCAAGAGAAGTACCATCCCTGGGTGTTCCACCGATGTGGGCCTAGGGCCACTGGGGCTCTGGAGCACTGGCCTAGCCCTGGCTCTGCCAGTGGGCCTGGAAGGCCTTTTGGGGATCGGTTCTGTGCCCCTGCTGGGCAAGGCTGGCCCGGGAGACAGAGCTGCTGGTTTCCCAGTGTCCATCTGCCTTCCTTGGCCTCAGAGCCCTTGCTGAGCAGGCTGAGCGGCTGCTGCTGCACAAAGCCGACAGGGTGCTCCTGGGTGGTTGCTCACTGGGCCTTGTCCAGAGAGTGAAACTGGATACACAACTCCAATGATCCCCAGCTTCCAGGGCCTGCAGAGAGCTGGAGGGAGCGGGGAGGGCAGACCGAGGGGGAGGGGGTCAGGTGGAGTCTGGTTCTTCGGGAGGTGAGGCCCTATAGGTGAGGCCCTTGTAGGCTGGGGCTTCCTGCTGCCCCTCTGGAGAATAGAGGCTTGGATGATTCTGGGTGAAGGGAGTGGCCCAAAAAAAGCTTCACAGGGACCAGGGTGGGTTTTGGCTCTGTCTGTGCCTTGGGCTCTGGCCTGGCTGCTGGGGAGCCTGGGACCTGGGACGGGACAGGAGGGACGGGATGGAAAGGAGGAGCCTGTTGTCCTGGCTCCTGAGACTTCATTATTGACAGGCTCTTGGGAACTTGGGCCAGGGGAGGGAGATGACAGGGATAAAATGACAGCTTTTTTGACTTCAATCATGAAAGTTTTGTCAGAGTTGTCCTTACTGGAGAAGGAAGAGGCCTGTGCGAGTGGGTCACCAGGCAGTGGGGGGGCCCATGTGCTCCTGAGGGCCTCTACGATTATGATGCCCCCAAATGGAGAGAGAGCACTTCAGGCTGTCCTTCCTCCCTGGAACAGCTCAGGCTCCACTTCCATGCCTCCATGCACAGCTTCTTCTGGAACCTTCCACCCACTCGGGGTCCAAGTCTCTGCTTCCTTGCCAGACTTAGCTTCTTTGCTTTTCAGAGTCTTCCTTCTGCAGCCTGGGGCCCAGGGTGCTGAGCCCTGTTTCCCCTACAATGCTGCCTGCAAGCTGGGGGGGTGTGTTTAGGGGGATTGTGCACTGCTTGGTTAGTAAATACAAATGTGCTGGCCTCATGGTGTCAGAGGGACACACTCAGGCACACAACTTCCCTCTCTCACTGCTGTGGTTTCTGATGTCATGGGAACTTCGCTGGACTTGCTACAGAATTTTTCTCTTCCTTCCTGGCCGGTCAGACTCTGGCCAGAGGAGGGATCCGGAGTGGAGCTGTCCTTGCGCCTGGCTGTGCTCACTGCTGTGGCTGCCGCCCCTTCCCCACCTCCTGTCGGAACTGGGCTGGCTTTCTCCACACACCTTCCTCCTGACTCTGCTGCAGGCACCTGCCTCCCGCCAGCCCCTCTTGTCCCCTTACTGTGCTCTGCCTGCTGCGCAGAGGGTGTCAGATGCCTGGGGTTGGTCATACCCCCTTTGGCCCCCCCCTAGACTGACTGACCCTTTCCTTGGCTCTCCCAGCTCTGCCTGTGGCAGGTGCAGACCAAGTGCCCTGTGTGTGGGGGCGGGGCGGGAGAGGGGTGGCCTGGAGGGGCGGGCGCTGCTGCCTGTTATCTCGGAGGGAGTGAGGCCCTGTGCTCCAGGCACTCTGAGGCTCTCGGGAGTTGTTGGGAGCTGCACCAGGAGCTTGGGTGCAGATCTTAACTTTCCTGCGGCTGCTGGGTTTGGTGGGTGGTAGGAATCAGACCCCTTTTGTTTGGCTGTGGGAGAAAGATGGGTAATGGGGGAATGGGCAAGGGATGCCATTTTCCCAGTGGGCCTTGAATGCCAAGGGGGACCCTTATCTCCGGCACTTACATGTGTCTGTTTGTGTGTGGGCTCCACAGGCAGATGTCTGGCTTGGTCCCTGAGAGAGAGAGAGAGAGGGAGAGAGGGAGAGAGGGAGAGAGAGAGAGTGTGTGTGTGTGTGAGAGTGTGTGAGAGAGAGAGACTTTGTTGCAGGGGAGTGGGAATGAGCTCCCAGGCAGACCTGTCTCCAGCTTGGGGACTCTCTTTTCCAGATGAAGACTGGCCCATTTGCAGAGCACTCTAACCAGCTATGGAACATCAGTGCTGTCCCCTCTTGGTCCAAAGTGAACCAGGGTCTCATCCGCATGTATAAGGCCGAGGTGAGTGGGGCCTTGCCAGCGTTCCCGCCCTGCTGCCACACTTGATTCTGGGGCTGGGGACAAAACAGAAGATGTGGGTCCTGGGGCTCCTGCTTCTCTCTACTCCGCTGTGTCACTCTGGATCTTAGGCCAACCACTCTGACCCTTGGGACCTCAGTCTCCCATCTTGGGGGTGGGCAGGCAGAGAAGCACTGGACTGAGGCCCAGTTGTGTCCTAAAAAGCTCGGAGGCCGTGGCAGGGACTTGCTGCTGTGGGAGTGGGGGGGGCGGAGGGGTCCTCTTCCCACTTGTCAAATGGCTGAGGGCCCGTCTGAGCTCAGGCAGCCTGAATCTGTCTCTCCCATGGCATACTTGGAAAAGGGGCTTATCCTTTGGAGACACCGTGCAGAGTGGGGCTCTCAAACTTTGGTATGTATGATCACTGGGTGGGGTGAGGTCTAGGGGAGGCCAGGAACTCACTTTAGTGACCACTTCAGGTGGTGTTGATGCAAGTGGTCTTCCCTGCTCTCAGATCCTTCCCTGCGGTTTCCTGGAGCTCCCCCTGCTGGGAGACCGCTGCCCTTCTGCTCAGAGGGTGTCTCCTGCTCCCTTCTTGGCACTGTTCTCCCAGCCAAGGAGGTAGTGGCCTTTTTCTCTTGCAAGTAGGGAGGACATGTCACTTCAACCCTGTCCCTTGCAATAGCTCCTCCCACATCTTGAGCAGACTAATCCTGGAACGGCTTGACCTTGGCCAGGGAAGGATCTAGATGTAAAGTTCCTCACCTAGAATGATGGGTTCCCAAAGTCTCTTCTTTTTGCCCTCAGGCTGGCCTTGGCGACTAGCTCATGGTCTCAGATATTGTACTGTGGGCACCCATCTCTTGACTCATGTTCATCCTCCCCTTCTGGGAGGGGGCTGCTCCGGGTCTTCAGTGTACCCAGAGCCTACTCGATCCCATCAGCAGAGGCAGGACCATGGGGAAGGGTGTCAGAGGGCCAGCAGGATCTGGGAGTAGAAGTACTTCCAGTTGGCCTGGCTCCCTCAGTATAGCCCCGAAAGGGTTAACAAGGCTTGAACTGAACAGGCCTGGCCCTCTCCCTTCCGCCCCCTCTCCCTTCTCCCTCCTCCTCCTGCGCCAGGTCTCCTTCCTCTGGACTTCACATCCTGTATTTAGGTTCCAGCCGCATACCTCTCTAATCTGAGAGGACTTTGCTGGGGCTGCAGCTGCTGGTCCTGGGCTTTCCACTCCCAGCCCTCCCCAGCCCGGGGAGCACCTGTGTCTGGTGTCCTGATGCCCCTACCCGTCCCGCAGTGGGTGCTACTGGGGAACTCTGTCATCCTGTTGTGCCCTCCCCACTGCTGGGGGCTGTCTCAGCATCTGAGGGGTACACAGCACCCCTCCAGCCTCCCCCTGACCCCCGACCTTTGTGTGTCAAAGACAGGACTCTCTGGCTGCCTTTTCTGCTTAGAATTTTAAATACTGCCCTTTCTGCGGGTCTCTTAACTTATCTTGACCCAGACCCCTAAGGGCAGGGCGGGAGACCCTGTCCTCTTCTCCTACCTGCCCCATCCAGAGGCAGAAGAACTCCACATGCGAGAGGGTAAGGGAGGAGCACATTAAGATTCAAAATGGAAAATGGCGATGGTGCAGCAGAAACACAAGAACAAAACGGTTGACCATGTAAAAGTTAATAGTATTTCTCTGGTTACTAAACACAGAATGTTGAACACGAGGACAGCGACAAAACTACCACCAATGCAGGGCCAGAAGGAGGATGCTCTAGTAGATAACAAAGTGGCCTTCCCGAAAACGGGAAATTCCAGCTCTGGGTGCTGGAGGGGAAGGGTGGGGGGCAGACTTCTTTGTAGGACAGCGCTGGAACTTGCTGGCTTCTTTGCAATGTTCAGCGCTCACTGATGAGTTACTAGCAAGTAGCCCTTAGTCCTTGGTCCCAGAGAGTCTGTGGGATGGCATGTGGCTTGCTCAGACGTCCAAGGGAAGGGCTTGCTTTTTCAGACCAGTTCTCAGTCCACAGGGGGCACCTTTGAGGCCCGTCAGTCCTGCAGTTCAGAGGGGTTAGCAAGACCTGGGCTGCCAGCCTGAGTTGGCCGCTGGAGGAGAGATGGCCTCCCAGAGCTGGAAGGAAGCCTGACCAGCTTGGCATTAGGTGGCCTCAGGATTTGGGACCGACTCTCTGCATATCCAAGACACCTGTCCCGGCCCTTCTGAACTGAAGCGCAAGTGCTCTCAGGGGGCCTCGTGTGGTGGGCGGTGGGCTCGTCATTCCCAAGGGCCATCGCTAGGCTGCTGCTGCCTTCCAGCAGGGCCTTATCAGGGCTTAGAGAGTCCCTTCTCCCCCTTGAATCACTGGAACCTCCAAGGGCCTATGGTCCCAGCCTCTGGGTTGGGACGTCCACCTGGAAGGTCACTGAGGGACAGGCTGGAGCTGCTGTTCTGCCCAGATATGCAGGTGGGACCTCTGGGGCCAGGGTAGCTGGGCGGCCTTGCTGGGAGAGAGGCCTGGCTGTAGGCTGTCTTCTGCCCTGGAGCCTTAGCCTTCCTGTGCCTCAAGCAGCCTCTTGCCTTTAGCCCCGCTCCTGGTTTCCCTTGTGGCTTGAGGGAAGCTTGTTCTGGGGTCCTGTGGGTGGAGTGGAGAGAACTTCTGCCCCTGCCCCCTCTGGTCTTTGCAGCTTCTCTTGTGTGAGAGCTGGAAGCAGGTTGACCTTTGAACCCTTCTGGAATTCAGGGCCCTGGGGGGGATATTTTACTAACTCCCACCACTTCCTGATGACATAAGCACTATGGCAGCTGCCTTTGCCTCTGGCCTGGCTCTGCTGCTCCTCCTCCAGCCTGAGACTGCCCCCTAGTTGCCTGCTCCCCACTTTCTCTGCCTCAGGCCTGGGATTCTGGCTGTGGCCCCCACTTTGCTCCCTCTCTGAGCTTAGTCCCCCACCCTGTGTGCCTCTCCCTCCTTGGTTCTGCAGCTGGTTTTTGAGGTGAGGGAACCTGGGCCAATCACTGCTCTTCTTTGTCCCTCTAAGTTAGTTGGAGGTCAAGACCACAGCCACAGAGCCAGCCTCTCACCCCTGCTGAGGCCATAAGTTGCCCCACCCCTCCCAGGAGGTGCCCAATACACTCTGGCTGTCACTGTGGCGAAGATGTGGGATGAGGGCCTGTGCCAGCCTGGCAGGTCTGATCTTGTGTGCCCAGAGCCACTGCCCGTGTGGTGGGCTCAGCAGGGCTGGCGCAGGGAGGTTGGGAGCTGGGTTCTGGTGGCCTGCAGACCAGGACAGCTTCCAGCTTCTGTGATAGGCCCTGTCAGTCTCTCCAGAGCCTCCCCTCTGCTAGGGGCCTGGGTCAGCTGGGCTCAGGGAGTTGGGCCACCCCCTGCTCAGCCATCCCCCTGTTCAGCCCCCACCCCCAGGGCTGCTGGGAATTGCTGGGGGGGAGGGAGGACACAGGATGTCAGCTGGTTCTTATTGTCTCACTCCGAAGTGCCAAGATGCCTTTTGCAGTCCAGAGAACTGAAAACTGGAGAAAATAGGCCTCTTCTGGGCCTTGTGTTCAAATGTCCCCACATCGCTTCTCCAGGGCCAGGGCCTGCGCTAGGGAACCCCAAAGATCAGGAGGGTTTTTTCACCTCTGGTCCCCAACTTCCCTCTCTGGGCTCGGTGATGTCACTTGGCTGCCTCTCTTTTTGGCTTCTGCTTTGTGGGGCTGGGTTCTCTCTCTCTCTCTCTTTCATTGTTTGGTGGGTCTGACTGCCTTGGATGGGGGGTGAGGGTGAAGGTGCTGAGTAGGAAACCTTTTCCCCAGAGTTGCTGCTCTGGATGGGCCACCTCCTGGGAACTGCTCTGTCGTCAGCGTCCCTGGTATGGTGCAGCCTCACCACTCTGCTCTCCCCTCCTTCCTCACAGTGCCTGGAGAAGTTCCCTGTGATCCAGCACTTCAAGTTCGGGAGTCTGCTGCCCATCCATCCTGTCACGTCGGGCTAGGAGGGGCCAAGCCACTCAGGCCTCAGTTCCTGGGCCCGCCTTCCCCACCCCAGCCACGGCCCCCTCCCTCCCCCTCCCTCTGTTCTTTCTGTTTGATGAGAGGCTGTTTACTGGGGTGGGGTGGAGAGCGCAGGATTGAGGGGGGCTCGGAGCATAAGGCTGAAGGACCCAAGCTGGGAGAAGTGACCAAAGTGTGGCCAGTTTCCTGACCTCCCCTGTGGTGGCCGGGCAAGAAGACAGGGACTGGGCCCTGTCCTGGCCTCCTCTCCTCCCTTCTCTCCTGATGGTCTCATTTTGAGAGCAGGGGCTGTGCTGCAGCTTGCGGGGAGGGGAAGGTGTCGCCGCTTCCACTGCTTTCCCTTCCCACAGCCGATGCCTTTCCGAGGGTTGCAGCAGTTGGTCCTCTCAGGGCGGGTCAGTTTCCAAGCCATGTCTGGGTGGGTGTCTGTGCAGCTTTAGGGCTGGAGGCGGAGGCTGACGGCCAGCTGTGGGGTGGGGTTGGAAGGAGTGGTGGAGAGGCCTTAGCTGTCCAGGCTTGTGGCCCTCCCAGGCTCCTCCTCACGCTGCCCCCTGGGCCTGAGGGCCCTGTGACCGGAGCAGCTTCCTGGTTTTCTGTTCTCTGCTCCTCGGCTTTGCTGGGTTTCCTGGCCGTAGCCACATATCTTCTCTCTCCTGCCCCCAGCCCAAGAGTAGCCTAGCTATGGAAGCTCCCCTTTGGGTAGGCACTGAGCTCCTGGGAGGGCCTGGCTGATTGCGTGAGGCCTGTCTTTCCAGAGCTTTCCCTGGCAGAGAAGAGGTGGCAGAAACTCAGGGAGGGGCTCAGGCCCATTGTGTCTGGAGGACCTGGATTCCCCTGGGGCGTCGCGCGCCCAGCCCCTCCTGCTGCCTCTGCACTGTGCACTGCTGCAGCTTCACCTGGCCCCTTGGCCCTGCTTCTCTGCTCCCTGGGTGGCAGGCGGCAGTGGGCGGGCCCAGAGGCAGCAGCCTCACTCCCTCGTTCCCACCTCCCCAAGCCTGCCCTTTGCCTGTATGGGATGAGGTACACGACGGCCCCCCAAGCCCAGGCATTGGCTCTAGGATGGGCTGGGCTAGGCAGGGCTGGGCAGGCCACTGAGGGGTGAGGGGCCTGGCAGCAGCATGCTGGTTCCTGGGGTTTCTCTTAGGGGTCCTCCCGCCCAGGCCCTGCTCCACCTCCCCCTCCTGAGTCTCCGTGCGCACACCCTCTGGAAAGGGGGAGCACCAAGAAGCACAGCACAGGGGCTTGACCTGGGATTGGGCTGACGGTCTGGGCTGAGGCTAGGACAGGAGCCACAAGAGTCACAGGCATAGCTTCCCAGGAGAGGCCTAGCGCCTGCCTTCCTCCCAGGACCAGACCACTGCCTTCCTGGCCCTCCCATGCCCCCAGCCCCTTGCGCCTTCATTGCTGTTTGGATTAAAGCCTCTGTTTTGCACCTGTCACCTGTGTGAGGTGTGTCTTTTCATGCCACATGTTTGTCCCATTTCTGCATGACCTTTTGACCCCCATGAGGTCCCTTTTCCTTGGGCCACAGGGTCTAGGGCTTGAGCTGTTTCATTTGGGTGAAGCCTGAACCTGAGCCTGTCCCCTCCCCTGGGCAGTGGGACAGGTGGCAGAGTGGGCTCTGAGCAGAGACTTGGGTTTCAATCCCAGCTACAAGGTTGTAGGTAAGTTACTGAATCTCTCCGAGCCCCAGCTTCCTCATCTATAAAATGGGGACAGTCACAGGGTGACTTCCTGGAGTGGACAACAGATATGAAGTCCCCAGCCCATGGCCTGGCACATAGCAAGTCCTCATGGTCACTGTGGCTGTGTGATGAGAGCAGCCCCTCGGGGCTCCTGGCTCAGCCCCACGCTGGCCTAAGGGAGCTTTAGGTTGGGACTTGGTGAGACATGCACCCAGTTTTTAACGGGGTGGCCCTCTGCCCTCCCCACCCCTCATGTCCCTGCTGCGCTGGGGTTGAGAGTCTGGGGCTGCTGTTCCCCAGGTCTTCTGCGACCCTGAGACACTTAGATACTCCTGCTCAGAGAACAAGAGCCTTCGCTCTTCTCCTGGCCTGAGAGGCCTCGCACTGGAACAGGAGAGCCTCCATCTCCGGGCACCTTGCACCTCCTTGGGGGAGCCTGGTGGCCCGAGCCCTACGGGCCTCTGGAGTCAGGCTCACCCTGCAGGCCAGCTGGGAGCTCAGCGTCCAGAGGGCGAGGGGTGGGGGGAGGGGGCCAGCTCCTAGGGCGGCCCTTACAGCCTCTGCTCAGGATTTGGAGAGTTCCGTTTGAAGGTGCTGGATGGCGTTGTGGGTGAGAAGGGCCTGGGGCAGGGGCAGCAAGAAGGGGGACGGGACCATTTGGGAGGCTGTAGCTCTGGGTGGGCACAAGGGTGGTGGCCCGGGAGAGGGTTCAGGGTGGGAGTGGTAGGGAGTGGTCAGATTCTGGCTGTATTTGGAGGTGCGAGGGGGAAAAGGGCAGCCGAGAAGACCCCGGTTCTTGGCTGTGTAGCTTGGTGCCGTTTACCGGGGTGGGGAAGACTGAGGGGAGGGCCTTGCTGTTAGGGCGAGGGGATGCGTGGTAGCTTCTAAGAGGACACGCAGGGTTGGGCGGCTGGCTGTGCTCATCTGGAGTGGCCTGCAGGAGTGGCTGTGGGTGTGGAGCCACCAGACCCAAGAGTGCCACATGAGCAGAACGTGGGGATGGGGTGGGGGCGGGAGACCCTGAGGTCCCAGCCCTCGGTGCGGTAGAAGAGGAGCAGTGGCCCTGCATCTCACCCTGCTGAGGGCTGCTCCGGGGCTGGCGTGGGAGGAACGGGAATAGCACACAGGGACAGTTCGTGACCCCATGAAATCTGCTCGCCGAAGCGGAGAGGTGAGGTCCTCGTCCCAGCCACCAGCCCGGAAGTAGAAAAGTGGAGCGGGCCGTCTAGTTCCCAAGCCGGACTCTTACCCAGACACTGCTTCTCTCAGGATGGGCTGCAGTGGGGAGAGTGGGTGGACTCGGGTCACGGGCTGGCTTTCTGAAGGGGGCCCTGTTCAGGCCGTGTGCTGGGGGGAACCCAGGAGAGGCGGAGGGCGACGACGGCAGGAGGGGAGACTGGAGGGAAGGCGGGCCATCGGGCCCCATGGCGGGGGTTGTACTGGGTTTGCTTTTGCAGGGAAGCGTGAGGCGAGGCCATTGCCTGCCCCTGGTGCAGGCACCGAGGACGTGGGCAAGGGCTTCTGGGCAGGGCGGGAATCCACTTAGGCCCTGGGAGATGGGACGGGGGAGGACTCACACCTTCAGCCCATGCTGTGCTCAGTGGAGGGTGGCTGCGTGGCTGTCACTCCCAGAAACGCAGGGGTCTGAAGGAAGCCCTGGGAGTGTGGGGCCAGACCCAGAGTGGGGCGTGTGCAGGTGTCACTCCCAGGCCAGAGAGGCCCAGAGAACAAGTTGAACGCAGCAGCTTGCGGTCCTTCCTGGCCCGCAGGCGTGCGGGGGGCACTAGCTCTTGGGAGGGGAGAGGAAAGAGGGCTTTCCTAGGAGGAAGAGCCTGGGCGGGAGTCGGGGCTGGAAGGAGAGAACCAAGCTGAGGGCTTGGTGTGCCCAAGGCTTGGCCCAGGTCGGGTGACATGTTCTTCCTGAATCCAGCAAGCATTAAGCGCGTGTTACATATAAGGCAGTTTGGGGAATACAGAGATTAAAAAAGGTGAGACTCTTGCCTTCAAGAAACTTCCGCCGTAGTGGCGAAACAGACAGACGGCGGACTAGTCGTGGAGGAGGTGAACGGTGACGCAGGCGTGAAGGGCTCTGGGGGGAGCTCGGGGAAGGCGGAGGAGGTGGCCCTGAATGGGGGGCTCAGCCCAAGGGCGTCTGGTGGGGCTGTGTGTGGCAGGGGCAGGGCGGCCAAGGCAGGTGGGGGCTGCCCAGAGGGCTCTGAGCCAGGCTTGAGCCCGAGCCCCCGCCCCAGATGCCCCTGGTGCTCCCCGCGGTGCCCTGCATTCAGTTCTCTCCAAAACGCAGCTGCTCAGCGTCTGTTTTCCCCACTAGAAGGTGAGCCACAGGAGGGTGGGGACCATCGTCTTGTCACGGCTGTATCCCAGGGCCCAGCGGGAACCTCAGTGTGTGTGTGGGGGGCTGGGTGTGTTTGTGGGATGTGTGTGTTGGGGGTGTGTGGGTGTGTGTATGTGGGGTGTGTGTGGGGTGTGTGGGGTGTGGCGTGAGAGAGAGGGAGAGAGGGTGAGAGACTCAGATCGGGCTTTAGGAAACTCGTGGGCACCCGGCAGGGTGCCGGGTCAGAAGCTGAGTGCCGGTGAGGGGTGAGGCTTTGGCCCGGGTCCGAGATGTCGGGCTGTCAGGATGTCCAGGCGTCCCAGGCCCTGGGCAGACAGAGAGAGGCCCTGGACTGGGAAGAGAGAGGACCGTGTGCCGAGGAAGGGGGAGGAGGTCTCAATGACCCTGGGCACACCCCTCTGTGCCCGGCAGGGCCCCAGGGGCTGATGCCCATCTGAGCTCAGCTGGGGGTGCTGAGCTGAGGAGCTCTGTGGGGGACAGTGTTGCAGCTGGCTCACTGGGAGGCTGGCAGGGCTGCCAAGACCCAACACCAGGTGTGATGGAGGATTCCGGGCGTCAGGGACTCCAGCTAGAGCCCCAGCCTCGGGCTCCCTGCCTGCCCCCTTGCTCCCTGGGTTCCAGCCACACTGGCCTCTCTGTTCCTCAAACTCCCTGGGCCACTGAACAGTTTGGTCCTGTTCCCAGAGGCCTTCGTTCCACTGGGGAGCCCCTGGTCATTCTTCAGGGCTTAGCTGAGGCCTCACTTCTGCCGAGAGGCCTTACCTGGTCCCCTAGACCAGGGCGGGTGTCCTGGATGTGCTTGCCTGGCCACACTGCCCCCTCGGAGTGCTCAGCACACCCCGGCGGCCGCCGGGAGGTTGGGGCTGTTTGCTCTGCAGGCACAGCTTCTCTTCGCTTGGGGTTCCTTGGTGGCGGCTGGGGACAGGCAAAGCATGGGGGCAGGGAGGCGCAGTGGCCACTGCTGGCTGTGCTGGAGGTGGGTGTGCAGTTCTGAGAGCAGCGGGGCCAAAGCCAAAGAGCAGCGGCCGAGAGAAAGGAGGATGAGTCAGGACGGCAGAGAGACAAGGGGAGGCAGGTGGCATTGTCGGGTGGCCCTGTGGGCGCGGGCTCGGGCCAGAGGGAAGGAAGGAGGGAGGCATCCGGCAAGCCCCAAGGTGGAGGCAGAGGCAGCGGCGGCGCTGTTGTGGGGCGTCTTCTGCTCGTCGTGTTGTTGGGGGCTGTGGTGTTTTTGGGGGTGTGGGAGAGAGGGGGCTCTCTCTTGTGGCGTTTTTTCTCGTGTGTTTTGTTGTGGGGACCTTTCGCACGCTCTGTGTCCAGCTGCTGGGGACTGTAGAGGCTGGAGGATGCGGTCATACAGTGGCTGTCAGATGACGCACTGAC